GGGGAAATTATAATATATACAGGGAGGTGGATTATAATATACGGGGGGGGGGGGAATATAATATATACAGGGAGGTGGATTATAATATACAGTTGGGGGAGGGGAATTATACCTAGGGTGGACAGAGGGATTATAATCTATTCGGTTTTATCTATGTGTTTAACTGGCAGGTCACACTATAAAAGCTTAACATCAGTTCATTGAGAGATGCCAAAACCGGGATTGTATTAAATATGCTACTACAAGCCTCATTCAGTGCTGAGCTTTGGGATGGACTTTGATTCCTACAGCTAGGTCTTCAGAGGTTAATGTTCTGTCCTGTTTCCTTCCTTCAATTGTTCACAAGTTGGATTATTGACTAAATTGGGAATTCTGGAAAATTGATCAGAGGATTGCAAACACAGGGTCAAATGAATGCTTAGGGACATACTTGAAAACAAGATAAATCTCAATGTATCCTTCCTGGTAAAATATTTTATAAATGAATTGCTATTTTTAGACAAGCATAGACAAATTATAATTCCAAATAAACTCTTTATTTTTTTTTACTTTATTTTTTTTCCTTCACTGTGAATATTTTAGTTTTAAATTTACATTGTGATTTCTTCATAATGTGAAAGTGCTCGTTTGTTGTAGTAGGTAGCATTGTCTAAAAATACTGACCATTAAGACTTGTTTTATCACTATTAATTTCTTTTGTTAAAGGACCACTATAGGCACCCAGACCACTTCATTTTAATGGGATTAACCCTGCCTGCTGTAAACATAGCAGTTTCAGAGAAACTGCTATGTTTACAAAATGGGTTAATCCAGCCTCTAGTGGCTGTCTCATTGACAGCCGCTAGAGGCGCTTCCGCGCTTTTCACTGTGATTTTTCACAGTGAGAAGACGCCAGCATCCATAGGAAAGCATTGAGAATGCCTTCCTATGGACTGGCTGAATGCGCGCATGCCTCTTTCCGCGCATGCGCATTCAGCCGATGACATCAGAAGAGGGAGGGAGGAAAAAAGGTAAGAGATTAACCCCTTCCTCCCCCTTCAGCGCCACGGGAGTTGGACCCCGAGGGTGGGGGCACCCTCAGGGCACTATAGTGCCAGGAAAACGAGTTTTCTTTTCCTGGCACTATAGTGGTCCTTTAAGATACAGATTGTGAGAAGCATTCTAGAGCAGTAGTTCTTCGCTACCTAAATTTGGATCCCCATGCCGTTCCAGTAGGTCCCCAATAAATTTCACAAATACATTATATTTATCACGGCCCAGGCAACTTCCTTTGCAGTGTCACTGCCTTTCTGACTGCAGTGGAAGCCATTTTCACATGAAGAAGCATCTAATTGAGTTCTTCTGCAGAATCTATATTGTTAAAAACTTTGTTACAATGGAGGAATATGACCCTGAGCTAAGATTAGTTAGAGAATAGGCGATGAAGATGCTGTGTAAATAAGTTGGGTCCATTTTAAAAAAAGATTAAGGAGCACTGTTTTAAAGAGAGCATGTATTAACCTGTTTACAGCTTATCTGATTCGATAAGCTTGTACTCTGTGATCTATTTGTCCTTGTGTGGACAGTAGTATCTAGTGGGGGACGTCTACATGTGTTCTTACCCCAGACAGCCTTAGCTGTTTGCATATAAATATGCTTGAAGTGGGGAAAACACAAACCGTGCTTAATCTTTGTATCTTTATGCATTTTTTTAGGTTTTCATCAGATTTCACAGAACAAGGTGGCAGTGCTGCTACTAGCTGGGGGTCAGGGGACTCGCCTGGGTGTTTCTTATCCTAAAGGCATGTACAGTGTTGGACTTCCCAGTGGCAAAACCTTGTACCAGATCCAGGCTGAACGAATACTCCGAGTGCAGCATTTGGCCAAAGAGAAATATTCCACCAAGTGCACAGTGCCTTGGTAAGGACATGTTCAAAGCCTAATAATCTGCTGTAGGCTGTGACCGGTGTTTGTAGGCAAGCTTCTGTACCGATTGAAGTGTTTGGTTTGAGAGCATGTGTTAAGGTCTAGGCTAGGGTACCACAAAGCATTCTCCATAATTGTCTGCTCAGACTGAGGTGAGATGATTCATGCAAACTATTTGTAGCGTACAATTCCTGTGTTCTGTCAGGGTTTTGGGTTGACCAGTTGACGGGGAACGTCCCATTTATTTTTTGTAATTTGTCCCCTCAGGTATATCATGACAAGTGAATTTACATTGTACCCAACACAAAAATTCTTTGAAGAAAACAACTTCTTTGGTTTGGAGAGATCAGATGTGATCATGTTTGAACAGAGAATGATTCCAGCTGTTGGGTTTGACGGAAAGGCAGTTTTGGAGCGTAAAGACAAGCTGGCCATGGCTCCAGGTATTATCTCAAGTAACTACTCTTATAAATAGAGTAAAGCAGCCATCATTGTAATACTTCTAGTCTTGCATGAGAGCAAATGGTGTTGCCACAGAAATTGCATGTGTACAGACTCACCTTTCTATTAAAGCTATTGTGCCAGTGCAATTTATTTATATTTTTCTCTTATTATTTTAAAAGAGCACTTTGGGCATCAAAACCCAAAAAGTTGATTGTTACAGTGCCATAAATCTTTGGGTGTCTTCTCCAAGTTTGGGGGATTAGCCCAGAGCACAAAGCCTATCTTCACTGTCCAGTTTTAGGAGGACACACAAAATAATTAGAGGATCTATATTGTATGGTAATAGCACCCTAAAATGAATATTGGGTATTATATGGCTACCAAGAATGGACCGAGGAGATCTCTAGAGGAGGGGTATCTGATTTCTGAGAGAGCCCTATGAGCAGCAATTCTGTTTTCTGTCTCTAGATGGGAATGGCGGCCTATACCGAGCGTTGACTGATAACCAGGTATTGCAGGACATGGAAAGAAGAGGCATTGCGTACATCCATGTGTACTGCGTGGACAATATCCTAGTGAAGATGGCTGATCCAGTATTTATTGGGTTCTGTGTCTCCAAAGGTGCAGATTGTGGTGCCAAAGTAAGCAGATAAAAGATAAGCAACATAAGTGTGAAAGGAATTGTAAGTTTTCTGTTTCATCCAAGAAGCATTGTATTTTAATGTCTTTGTTTGTAGCTAAATAGCACTCATGTCAGACTTCACATATTTATTGCACAAAACCTAGATGGTCAATTTGCTGCTGGTGTGTTTAATAATGGTTTGTCTACACCATTGAGTTCTTGTGCTCCAAAGATCACACTCCTTTTGGGTTCTTCAGGATCCTGTTAGAAGTTGTGTTTAAATCGGGAACCTGATATTTTCTCTGTTTAATGCCAGGTAGTAGAAAAAGCTTATCCCTCTGAGCCGGTGGGGGTGGTGTGCCAAGTAGATGGCATCTACCAGGTGGTGGAATATAGTGAGATCAGTCAAGAAACAGCAGAGAAACGGAATCCTGACGGGAGCCTTGTATATAGTACTGGCAACATCTGCAATCACTTTTTCACTTTGGAGTTCCTCAAGACTGTAGCAACGTGAGTATTCTATGCGTTTGGATTTTGAGGTGCATAAATTGTAAATTCAGACACTGTTAGTGTTTCCTGAGTGGGTTCCATTGTAGGTGTGCCTGCGTCAAAAGGTGGGCACAGAGCATTAATGTCCTTTCACGTGGCCCTTTTATTTTAAAATATTACAATCGAAGCGTTCATGTCATCTTAATGGGGAAAACTTAATCCATAACTATGAAAACAAATGCTCATGTACTCCTTTCATCCATACTGACAGTCCACTAATCTATTAATCAGTCTGATTCAGATCATCCCTGTCTTTCCTGATTTGATAACCTGATCCACTCAGACTTTCATACAGACATTACTAATCTAATCAAAAGAAAAAGGAGCCTTCTCACATATTGGACTCATTAGTATTAAATTATGATTATGTCATATACGGCAGATCTGACAGACCACGAAATATGCATACTTTAAGGTATCATATCTTTTTCTCTCAGAACATTGGAGCCACTGTTGGGCTACCACATCGCCATTAAAAAGGTTCCATATGTTTCCAAGGAAGGAATCCAGTTGAAACCTTCGCGACCAAATGCAATAAAGATGGAGAAGTTTGTTTTTGATGTTTTCCAATTTGCCAAGTTAGTGTCCTCTGTTTGCTGGGTAATGTGAAGACCTGGCACAATACACAAACTGTACTGTTGTTCCATTAACATGCTAAGAGCAGCAGATGGCGCAGGATAAATTCTGCATTTGATTTAGCCACATAAAAAGGGACACTGTATACACTATGCCAGTTTCATCACATTGAAGTGATTATAGTGCCTGGAGTCCCCTGGCACTGTCTCTCCATTCAGTGTTAAACCATTTTTGAGCAGTTTAAGATTAAACAATTGTCTCCGGCACCCACAGCTTGGCCCTTAATTTAGGTATGGCTAAGGCATAGATTACACACTTCCTTTTATCCATACCAATTCATACCAGCAGTGGGCACTGTGATAGTCTGAAAGCAGGCAGCCTATCACAGCTGCCTATTGCTGCTTAGATTTGTGCTTCCTCATTAGTCAAAGCAGCACAGAGTGGATGGGCTGCTGAGGACTCTTGTTTAGTATCAAAGCTGTAAAACACGGTTTAACTCTAAATGGAAGGAGAGAACCAGGGGACTCCAGAGACTATAGCTACTTCAATGAGATGAAGCAGTTACAGAGTTCACGATGTCCCTTTAAGCTCCGTATATCATTCTACATACTTAGGATGAGTCTGGATTAACCAAGGAATGGATACAGAAGAGCAAGTTTAGCTGAGAAAGTGATGTACACCATAAAGCCATTAGCATGGGAACATGAAAAGGCTGAAAGTTAATCTCTATTTTTTTTTTTTTTGTGTATTCATTTTGACACCTACTAAGTGAACTTATATTGGTGAATAAGAGGTGAGCTAATGCACCTGGATACATTAGGCACCTACATTATCTTTTAATATAGACTAGGGTTATGTATCATATTACATGTGTGATCTAGAAACAGCAATGGTATGAAAGAATCCCTTGATATCACAGTTCTAAGATGATTTTATTTTTATTTACTTTTTTTGTCCATCAATTTGGAAACAATAACTGCAGCAACAAAGGTCCAATGTAAAAGCAAGGTTTTCCAGTTGTTTATAGCCACAATATTATGTCCTATATTTTGGTTAAAACTATTTATGAAAATATATTTTCTTATTATGTCACTGCGGGGTAACTGTGCTAAAACAGATTTAGTGGAAACTATTTTGTTGAAGTCCATTTTTGATGATGAAACTCACCTTATGTGTTCTGTTCACAGGAAATTTGTTGCATTTGAGGTCTTGCGAGAAGATGAATTTTCTCCTTTGAAGAATGCAGATAGTGCCAATAAGGATACCCGAACTACGGCAAGACGTGCGATCCTCTGGCAGCATTACCGCTGGATACGGAAGGCTGGCGGTCGGTTAATAGATGTGAATGGCTGCCAGGTAGTTGCAAATTACGGGTACGTCTCTTAATATAAATGCTGGTCACCGTCTAACAGAATAAAGGATAAACAGTCTTATGCTCGTTAAAGAAATAGTCCACACAGTTAAAGCACACTTTAGCTTGCGGTGTGCTTCTTGTGTTAAGTGTTTTTTCTTTACTTTTTTTTTTCCTTTACTTGTTACACCTCCTGGCTGCCAGACAAATGGTCCTGTTGCTTCCTGGTTGTTTTGCTCAGTGGAGCTAAACTCAAGAGGCAACAATTGCTCAGAGCTCCTGCCAGGCAAAGACTTCTCACTGAGCTGCATTGGGAAGTCTGTGATTGGACAGACAGAGGAAGTATGGGAGGGTCAGCAAAGGCTGCAAACAAGAAACCTGCAGCTTTTGCATGAGGTTTTTAGATATAACCCCAAAGAAAAATGCACAATTAAATTAATGGTTTTATCTAGATAAATCTTTTAAATTGTGATCTATATATTATATTTGAGAGGTGAAGTATCCTTTTAAAATGCCGTAGCTGAGTTCAAAATACACCCCAAACTTTTATTTTATTTCTGTTTTGTTTACTTTGATTGGAGTATTCAGACCTGTCCTGCACTAATATACATGCCTTCTAACTATGTGAATTAGGTGCAGGAACTTTATCAGATTTTCCTCTTTTCTTTGTTACAGCTTTTCTGAAACAGAGGACCCACCAGCTGTGTGTGAAATATCTCCTCTGGTGTCTTACTTTGGAGAGGTGAGCCTAATTTAATGTAGTCATTTGTATGTGTGTGTATATAATCTAGTTTTAGAACATGTTACCTAGTGGTTCCCAAACCAGTCCTCAAGGCATTCCTACCAGTCCATGATTTATGGATTACCAGTTTTGTCTAAGTGGTAAATGCACAAAATACATATACACATACATTCCATTCAGATTTTTCATGTTTTAAGAATTATTGTGTGCAGTTGATGCAGTGTTTGACAGTGTGTGCTTGTAAATATGTGGGGTAATCTATACTGTGGGCTAAAGGCTGTTTTTTTTTTTTTTTCATTTTTTTTTTTTCTTCAATATCCTATTTTACAAAGTGCAGATTTCAATAGTAATTGGTAATATATATATATATATATATATATATATATATATATATATATATATATATATATATATATATATTCTATCTTATTTTTTCTCTATCTTATGCTGACAAGCACCAGGCAAGTACACCTGTTTATTGGAGTGCAAGACTGTTTGTTTTTTTATTTTGTGTGTGCCTCTGATTGGACAGCCACAGAAAGTCTGGGCAGGGTTAAAAGGGGAGGGCTTGCAAAGGTTGCAGACAAAAGATCTACAGCTTTTACGAATTTAATTTTAAGAATTAAAAAAATTTATATTTTCATTGTGGGTATGTATACTAAATAGTTTTATTTATATATTTATTTTGGTATTTGGGCAATGGAGTGTCCCTTTAATACCACATGGAGGGAATAGCATATCTCTGTACTTGTCAGAAATGTAGGTCTGTTGTTGGGACCTGTATTTTGTGCCATGTGACATATAAACTAATAATTTAGTGGGACCAAATGAGCTTGGCAGCGAAATAATACTGCAGCGAAATTGAAACCATCTAACTAAACCATGAGAATAGTACAGAAGAAATTTGTGTGTTTGTGTTTAAAGATCAGAAAACAGAGGATTTCAGTGTTATCAGACTGTAGTATTTAAGTGGGTAATATTTATAATTATTACACTCAGGTCAGATTGTAAATCTTAAGTAGTGATTTCAACTGAAAAAATATTTTATTGATTTGGTCCATTGTGAAGACATCACTCGAACTTTTCATAATGCAGTAGAGCTCTATAATATAAGAAAATGTTCCACTCTGAACACCGTTGCTAATTTTTCATGTTTTATTCCTGCTGTAGAGAAATGTATGGATGGTCATTTTGGGAAAATATCCATTTAAATATAACCTCCATTATGTTCACAGGGTTTGGGAAGCTATGTGAAAAACAAGGCCTTCTCTTCGCCATTTGTACTGGACCCAGAGAAAGCCAAAGAACTATTGGTTTAAATGAAGATGAGGGCATCAAGGCCGGGAGAAGATTTACAGGGTTTGCCAGTAAATATCTGGCAGTATCGGAGTGTTGGACATACTCCAGGTCCAGCATCTCCCACCAAACAATGTGCCTAGGAATCATTCTGTGTAACATGATTTTCACTTGAAATAACATTTTTTTTTTATTATGATGAAGTCTCTGTTAAATGTTCCTCAAATATTCTGTATGTTCCGATTTCCGTTTATGATGCAAGTTCTCCGATAGACGATTGCTTCTAGATCACATATATTGCAGGTTCCCCTCTGCTTTGCAGTGACATATAGAGTTCACATCTACCGCTATGGTGGGAGGATACTGGAATGGATCGGAGACTTGAACAGAGCTGTGATGACCTGAGCATAGGACAGACAGGGCAGAATTTTAGCAAATACTATGCTCTTTAGATAGTAACTGAAAGTGCATTATATGAAAACTTGTCCTGGGTAATCTCAAGAATCCGCAATGAAAGGCCTTAATTATTCCAAAATCGTAGTAGATGGTGAAGTGAATTGCTGCTTCTATGCAATTGTAACCGTAAAATATACAATGAAATCCAGTATGTGTGTGTTCTGGATTGGCTTGTAACTGGTGCTCCTGCCTCAGCACTAAGTGACCGTGTGTCCCAGTTTTAGAAAATACAAGTTTGTTTTTTAGGACAGAAAACGATAATTGGCTCCTTAAAGCAGACTGCTGGATTAAAAATGGAACACCTTGCAGACTTGGTACTGGATCATAGAGTCTGACTTAAACAACTTGCAGATCTTTCTTCGGTTGATCTAAAACCTGTTTGTTTACAACCACGAAGGAGTTGGAGAGAAGTACAGCTCTGTGCTCCTGGTGGTTCTGTGATCCTAGTCTGTTTCTTCATTCTCTGTGGGATGGAAAGAGGTTAAACCCAGCTGTAAGATGTATGCTTTCAGCACAATTTGGGTAACGACTGATAGATTCTGTTTTGCTGTAATATTTCAAATGCTGCTTTAATGACCCCACTGTTTACAATCATATCTCCCAGTGATTAATCCAGCCACTGATATCATGAAATATATTGTGCAATAATCATGGAACCATTGTTGTTTAGAAAATGAGAAATTATGCTGAAGTAACAGTAACTCAGAAATATGGTTGGCTGCAGTGAAGGTCAGATATATGACTGAAATTCCTGGTAGCATTTCTTTCCAAAACCTCTTCTTGTTGTTGAACTACAGCTCCCTTGATGCTTTGCCCGTAGAATGTTTTTAGAATGACAAGGCATAATGGAAGCTGTAGTTTTAAAACTTTTGGAGATCTACCTTTTGGGCACCCCTGCTATGTACAATATTTATGAGCATGATTTACAAGTACCTGACTGTTATGTTAACAGAGGTGTGTTGTCTCCATTCTCTATATCTGTCCTCCTAACAAACTGACCAGATAGCTACCTTGTTAAACCGCTTGCTATTTCACATACATCAATGGACAGTGATTCTGTTGGTTGGAATAAATAAAACATGGGCTTTAAAAAACCTGCTTTGCCTGTTACAGAATTCTGTGTTATCTTGTATCTATTAGTGACATCCGAAACACTCCATGCCTTCAATGAGAAATCTAAATTACCAGATCTATAATTACCTGCTATTCTCTATTTTGCCATTGTTAATCAGTTAATTAACAGATTGGGGTTCGAAGGCTTGTAAACCTTGACCTATGTGTAACAATGTAACCTTCATCACTGATTACACTGTGAGATTAATACCTACTAATACCTGGTCATTTAAAACTTTAGAACAACATAATTGTTATTTTTAAAACAGGACACGTTTAGATGTTTTCCCAACAAAGAAAGGTAAACATTGCAAAACTATTTAAAAGTCAATATATTATTATAAGGAGTTCATGAACTAATAATATATATATATATATATATATATATATATATATATATATATATATATATATATATATATATTTATTCAAACAACCCATGTGAGTTTATTGAAAATCTGTCAGTCTAACAAATTTAATATAAAATCATCTGACATTCCAAAAGCAAAGACTGTCTCCAAAGAAGATTAGGAAGTGTAAATGGTTGAAATATAATTCCAATTTCATTATTCCGCATGTAAGGGAATCCCTAATCAATCATGGCCGCGCCAGGTGGTCACATGATTTTGGTTGGAAGGAGGCTTCTGCCCACATCAAAGATGGCGCACAGTTAGTGTCAGCTCATTCCTCTGGTGTCCGAGAGAGAGTGTCTGCTCTCTATCACCCCCTGACGGCCGCTCTCTCCCGCTCCGGCGGTTGCTCTGTGGTGCTGCGCATGCGCGGTCCGGCCGCATGGACTTTGGCAGCTTGTTTACAGGTGGGGCTAGGCCGCAGCCTCGGGCTGGATTTACCGCTCCGCCTCCCGCTCGCTCCTCCTGCTATGGAGAGAGGATAGCGGCCCGGTGCCATGTACTCCCCGCAGCGCCGGGACTTTATGTCGGTAACCCTGATCCAACCGGACGGGGGAGGCGGATACAACAACAGCAAGAGCTGGAGGAGGAGAACCTGCTGGAGGGTGAGATATAATAATAATAATAATAATAATATAATGTGATATATAATAATAATATAATGTGATATATAATAATAATATAATGTGATATATAATAACAGCAAGAGCTGGAGGAGGAGAACCTGCTGGAGGGTGAGATATAATAATAATAATAATATAATGTGATGATATATAATAATAATATAATGTGATATATAATAACAGCAAGAGCTGGAGGAGGAGAACCTGCTGGAGGGTGAGATATAATAATAATAATATAATGTAATATATAATAACAGCAAGAGCTGGAGGGTGAGATATAATAATAATAATAATAATAATAATAATAATATAATGTGATATATAATAACAGCAAGAGCTGGAGGGTGAGATATAATAATAATAATATAATGTAATATATAATAACAGCAAGAGCTGGAGGGTGAGATATAATAATAATAATAATAATATAATGTGATATATAATAACAGCAAGAGCTGGAGGGTGAGATATAATAATAATAATAATAATAATAATATAATGTGATATATAATAACAGCAAGAGCTGGAGGGTGAGATATAATAATAATAATATAATGTGATATATAATAACAGCAAGAGCTGGAGGAGGAGAACCTGCTGGAGGGTGAGAAATAATAATAATAATAATAATATAATGTAATATATAATAACAGCAAGAGCTGGAGGAGGAGAACCTGCTGGAGGGTGAGATAAAATAATAATAATAATAATAATAATAATATGTAATATATAATAACAGCAAGAGCTGGAGGGTGAGATATAATAATAATAATATAATGTGATATATAATAACAGCAAGAGCTGGAGGAGGAGAACCTGCTGGAGGGTGAGATATAATAACAATAATAATAATAATATAATGTGATAAATAATAACAGCAAGAGCTGGAGGGTGAGATATAATAATAATATAATGTAATATATATAACAGCAAGAGCTGGAGGGTGAGATATAATAATAAAATAATAATATAATATAATGTGATATATAACAACAAAGCAAGAGCTGAGGGTGAGATATAATAACAATAATATAATGATATATACAACAGCAAGAGCTTTGAGGTGAGATATAATAACAATAAATATAATGATATATAATAACAGCAAGAGCTGGATAGGAGGAGAACCCGCTTGAGGTGAGAAACACCACACACAATAATATAATGTAATATATAATAACAGCAAGAGCTGGAGGAGGAGAACCTGCTGGAGGGTGAGATAAAATAATAATAATAATAATAATAATAATATGTAATATATAATAACAGCAAGAGCTGGAGGGTGAGATATAATAATAATAATATAATGTGATATATAATAACAGCAAGAGCTGGAGGAGGAGAACCTGCTGGAGGGTGAGAAATAATAATAATAATAATAATATAATGTAATATATAATAACAGCAAGAGCTGGAGGAGGAGAACCTGCTGGAGGGTGAGATATAATAATAATAATAATAATATAATGTAATATATAATAATATAATGTGATATATAATAGCAAGAGCTGGAGGAGGAGAACCTGCTGGAGGGTGAGATAAAATAATAATAATAATAATAATAATATAATGTAATATATAATAATATAATGTGATATATAATAACAGCAAGAGCTGGAGGGTGAGATATAATAATAAT